CCCGTGTCTCCACTGCTTCGATCCTGCGGCGACGAGCTACGCAAGACACAGCAGATGGAGCTCGGAATGGGACCGCTGGGCAATAATAATAACAACTACCAGCAGAAGAACCAGAATGTGATACTCGCACTGCCCGCCTCGGCCTCGGAGAACATAGCCGGCGTGCTGCGGGATCTGGCCAATCTACTGCACCTGGCACCCGCCCTTACCTGCAAGATCATCGAGGACAAGATTGGCAACAAGTTGGAGGACCAGTTTATGAACCAGGACGATGAAAAGCACGTCGACTTCAAGCGACCATTGAGCCAAGTGAGTCACGGTCATCTGAGGAAGATCCTTAACGGTCGCCGGAAGCTGTGCCGCAGCTGCGGAAATATGGTTCATGCCACTGGGCTGCGAGTACCGCGGCACAGTGTTCCTGCACTAGAAGAGCAACTCCCCCGGTTGGCTCAACTAATGGACATGTTACCGAGGAAATCGGTTCCCGCTCCATTTGTGTACTTCTGCGATCGCGCCTGCTTTGCGAGATTCAAGTGGAACGGAAAGGATGGCCAGGCGGAGGCGGCTAGTCTGTTGCTTCAGCCAGCGGGCGGCTCTACTGCGAAATCGTCCAACGGAGACTCACCTGGCAGCTTCTGCACCAGCTCAACAGCCCCAGCGGAAATTGTGGTCAAACAAGAACCGGAGGACGAGGCTGAGAAAACGCCGGGCATACCTGGCACCCCCACAAATATACCCGTGCAGCGCAAGTGCATCGTAAAGTGTTTCAGTGCTGATTGTTTCCCCACGGACTCGTCGCCAACTGAAGTGGAGTTTGACGGAACTGCGGGTGCGGGAACTGGGACTGGACCGGTTAATAATACGGTGTGGGAAACAGAGACTAGTGGCCTGCAGTTGGAGGACACTCGGCAATGCGTCTTCTGCAATCAGCGTGGTGACGGCCAGGCCGATGGACCCTCGCGTCTACTCAACTTCGATGTGGATAAATGGGTGAGTAGACATGTTAACCACAATGGTTACAACGCAGCTTAATGTACCCTTTCGCATACAGGTTCACCTTAACTGTGCCCTGTGGTCCAACGGCGTGTACGAGACGGTGTCCGGGGCGCTGATGAACTTCCAGACAGCTCTGCAAGCGGGACTGAACCAGGCGTGCAGCGCCTGTCACCAACTAGGCGCCACCATCAAGTGCTTCAAGTCGCGATGCAACAGTCTGTACCACTTGCCATGCGCCATTCGCGAGGAGTGCGTCTTCTACAAGAACAAGTCCGTGCACTGTAGCGTTCATGGTCATGCCCATGCCGGAATCGCCATGGGAGCAGGCGCAGGCACCACGACTGGCGCCGGAGTAGGAGGGTCTGTGGCAGAGAATGAACTCAGCTCCCTGGTTGTCCACCGCAGAGTTTTCGTCGATCGGGATGAAAACCGCCAGGTGGCCACCGTCATGCACTATTCAGAGCTGAGCAACCTGCTCCGTGTGGGCAACATGACGTTCCTGAACGTGGGTCAGTTGCTGCCGCATCAGTTGGAGGCCTTCCACACACCCCACTACATCTACCCCATTGGCTATAAGGTGGTAAGTACAAGTTCCAGCCTGTACACAAGTTCCGGTGTGTTAATGAAAGTTATCTTCAATCACTCTGCTTCTCCTCCTTCAGAGTCGCTACTACTGGTGCGTGCGACGACCCAATCGTAGGTGTCGATACATTTGCAGTATCGCGGAGGCCGGATGCAAGCCCGAGTTTCGCATCCTGGTGCAGGACGCCGGCGACAAGGAGCCGGAGCGCGAGTTCCGGGACAGTTCGCCCTCGGCTGTCTGGCAGCAGATCCTGCAGCCAATCACGCGACTGCGTAAGGTCCACAAGTGGTTGCAGCTCTTCCCCCAGCACATCAGTGGTGAGGACCTATTTGGCTTAACGGAACCGGCCATAGTGCGAATCCTGGAAAGCCTTCCGGGCATTGAGACTCTCACTGACTACCGGTTCAAGTACGGTCGCAACCCGCTGCTCGAGTTTCCGCTAGCCATCAATCCGTCTGGAGCGGCGCGTACGGAGCCTAAGCAACGCCAGCTGCTCGTCTGGAGGAAGCCACATACGCAACGCACGGCCGGCAGCTGCAGCACCCAGCGGATGGCCAACTCGGCTGCGATCGCCGGGGAGGTGGCCTGCCCCTACAGCAAGCAGTTCGTACATTCGAAGAGCTCCCAGTACAAAAAGATGAAGCAGGAGTGGCGTAACAACGTCTACTTGGCGAGGTGAGATATTAGGATCTATTCAATAACCCCTGATTGCTGAAGCCCTCATTTTCTAGGTCTAAGATCCAGGGTCTAGGTTTGTATGCAGCTCGGGACATTGAGAAACACACCATGATAATCGAGTACATTGGCGAGGTTATCCGCACCGAGGTCTCCGAGATACGCGAGAAGCAGTACGAGTCGAAGGTGGGTTTCGTGGCCAGGATTTGTGTAACCTTGACTAATCTCTGATTCCTCAGAACCGTGGCATCTACATGTTCCGGCTGGATGAGGATCGCGTGGTGGACGCCACTCTAAGCGGCGGGTTGGCGCGCTACATCAATCATTCGTGCAATCCCAACTGTGTTACAGAGATAGTGGAGGTCGATCGCGACGTGCGGATCATAATATTCGCCAAGCGGAAGATCTATCGCGGCGAGGAGGTGGGTCCCGCAACTGGAAGTGATACGCCTGTAACTTGAATTAAAATACCTCTTATATCGTGTGCTTTAGCTCTCGTACGACTACAAGTTCGACATTGAGGACGAGTCGCACAAGATACCGTGTGCCTGTGGAGCGCCCAACTGCCGCAAGTGGATGAACTAGAGTCGGGAGGAGCCTCTGGCGGAGGACCAAAGGAAGCGCAAGAAGCGGCGGCGTGCACGTCGCTCCCAGTGAACAGGACCCGTAACAGGAACAGGAAAAGGACTTGTTGTATCTGATCAAATAGATAGATTCGCTAAGCAGTATAGTTCGTGTACATATATACAATTATATATATGCTAAATGCAGATATGCGTATATGCTCGTGAAGAGCATATAACCTTGTAAGTTATGTATATGTGCCCACTGTAGCCAATTCGTATCCTTTATATCGCTCTTAAGTGCAAAAGTGGAGGGAGTGGAGAGTGTCTTCATAGTTTAAATTGAATGATTGCTATCGTTTCCATATAGAAAGAATATACATAAATGTTACTGCTAGGACACGACCATCCCTGTAATGTATTTCGGACCCCCTCCCCTCACACAGTCGCTGGAGCACCTAATTTTATTTGTTTTAGCACCATCTTCACATTCATCACTACCACCATTGCAATAATCGCGAGCAAACTGACCGCCCCGATGGCCAACCCAAAACTTGACTTTATGCGTGTGTGCCTTCCCCTCTGTTTACCATTATTATTATTATCATAATTGTAGCGGTTATCTTTCAATATTCGGCTACTTTACATGGGGGAGTGACCCTTTATTCCCCACATGTATTGTGCGCAACCTTCTTTGAATATATACACTGATAAGGATATAAACACCTATTTCTATTTTATTTTATTTAAATAGTTTTGCGATTACTTTTAAGTACATTAACTAACTCCAAGCAACGTGTATTTTTCATCCCCTTAAATAGTAGCTAAGTAAATTTTATGCCACCATTTTACGCACATGATCTTTTATTTTACTTATGGCAAACGGCAAACTTGGAAATAACCAAATAGGGGCGACAGATACCAGATACTGCAACTAAGTTCTCCGCTTGGCCAGCGCTAGAAGCCTCTGGAGCTGGACTGCGGCGGCCAGGGTGAGGATATCGAAGTTCTTCAGGTACCAGGAGATGTTGTACATCATGTGGATGCGCCAGTTCTTGTCGAGGAACGCTTTGTAGAAGTCGCTCATCTGGTCCGCGGAAACTTCGCTAGTTCCGCTCTCCTTGTGCAAGCGGATGAAGTCCTCCTTCTCCTGTGAACCGAACCGAACCGAACCGAAAGAGACGGAACGGAATTAGCGCATTAGAAAGAGATGGCACAGTGGCCGTGGTTGTACCTCGTAGAAACGCTTATTGTGTCTGGTCCAGAAGTCCGTGTTCCAAGCCTCCACCTCGATCCGCTTGAGGCGCAGGCTCCTCGCCAGCCGCGTCTCCTCATCGCCGTAGTGCCGTACGTACGGACGTAGGTTCGATTGCGTGTCCGGCGGCCCTATATAGTCACATTTCACCGTCTTGGGATCAGGTTTGTGTGCCAAACCGACTACGGGTTTTTCTTGTGGCGGCGGACATCCCGGCTGCACTGCGGCATAGCATCGCGGTAGCTGTGTAAACTATTGAAAATCCAAATCCAATGGGGCAACATAATCATGGACTCACGCTGAACTGGAAAAACAATATCCGGGGCTGGCACCTAAAACATTTGTTCATTTTTCGGTTATGTTATGTGAGGTCCAGTGTGGCCGACTGTGACGCTAGGTAACAACCTAAATTTGAGTGCCAACAAATATTATGGGCATTCGAACACGATTCTCGGCTGAATTTCTCGAGTTCAGATACCAGGCGATCAGAATCCGTAGCCAGCAGGTACATTTCGACAAATTTTCTAAAATGGACGTCAATTGCGTGTTTCCAGTCGCCATTGAACCAATAGGAATGCATCTCAGTGAACATCTGGATCCAAGCTTAAGCAGGAGTAGATATGTGAAAGTCATTTGTTTCTTTGTTCGTGACACGATTTAGCACGACATGTACGAAAAAACGCAAATATCTCATGTATTCCCATTGGTTCGATAATATAAAACGAAGTTCAATCAAGCCAATTACCGCAGTGGCTAATCCAACTAAGAAAAAAGAACTATATTTTTCTCTTACTCTGTATAAACCATTGTCACCCTAGACGAGCGGAAGGCCTTAGCTGCTAATGTGATTATTTATGTTTAACAACGAATACCAGAAAGCGGTATGTAATGAATTCCCCTATTATCTACTATTAAGGGATTTATTTTAATCAAATTGGAACTGAGAACTATCGTTCTCTTCCAACCACCTCTAGCGTTTATAGCTATCCCGTGACAATAAACCCAACTGGAAAAGGCAAACGCGGAAAATCCGGGGAATAGTCCGGGGAAAATGTCACCCAAAAACAATCACGATCCCTCGTCGTCCGGCGACTCTGGCAACACCAATGTCCAGGAGGCGGACCTCCAAGGTGAGTTTCGGCAGCGTCTCGTTTCTGGTCGGGATTGGCTCTAATGGAATGACCCCTGCAGAGCTGGAGGACGTGAACAACAGCTTGGACGCTCTCAGCTGTGCTCTGGACGCCGTGGAGCAGCGCACGGACGACATCATGTCCCAACTGCGAGAGCTGCTGAACTCCAACCGAGAGATCCGTCGTCTACTTGCGGAGGAAAATGACAACGCTCCTGATTCGGGAGACGACAATATGGACGGGCAGTCGGGCAGCGGAACCGCATCCCAGTAGATCAGTCTACGAGCAGTTATTGTTTTGATCACAATCAAATGCTGTTTTTATCTATTATCATGTATTTTTGTTCTAAACCTAAGTAAACTTAATTGAAGGCAAACTTAAGGTTCACTAGGTATTGCGCGCTTTCTTGCGCTTCGGCTTATCTGCGATTTCACCCTGGACAGCGGCATCGCTAGCAATATACTTGAACATGATCTCGAACATGCGCTTTGATTCCTCCTTGAGGCGGGCATTCTCGGCCAGCAGCTCTTGCACGTTGACGCCGTTTGTCTGCGGTGAGCCTGGCGTATCTTCTGCATCCGATTCTTCCGACTCCGCTTCCTTGGTGGCGGTTTCCATTCCCTCGGCTCCGGATTCTACTTCTTCGACCTCGGAATCCCCGTCCGCTGCTGCGGACTCTACATCTGTAGCTTCGGATTCAGCTTCAACTTCTTCGTCCTCGTCCTCCTCATCTTTTCCCGTACTCATGGACGATATAAGTTTAAGTATTATCTCCTCATCCGTACCCGGGTAACTTTGTGTGTAGTCCAGCTCTGGTGACTTGCGTCCCTTGGAGTAATCCTGATCGATCAACAGCTCGATGCCGTCATTCTCATCCGGCGGACTGATCATCCGCTTTAGACTGTCGGCGAATAGCTGCGGCTGCTTGTGCTCCGGCAGAAAGATGGCTGGGCTGAGCAGGCGGATGTGCAGGTTGGTTACTGAGCCCTTTTGCGATAGGCTCTTGATAAGCTGTCGGCTGCCCACGTCCCAGACGCATACCTGATTGTCCTCGCCCCCGGAGATAAGCGTTGTAGCGCTTAAATTCAGTGACAGGCAGGTGACGGCCTTGCCGGGTGTGTGGCCCACAAAGGCCTGGATTTCCTCCTCCTCCAGGTGGTATTCCTGAGTAAGTGAAGGAATTAGTTGGTAAAGCAGTGGATATACGAAATGTGGACTCACCTTCATGCGCGGTGCCTTTTCCATGTGAAAGACAAACACTTTGCCGTCACTGGAGCCCACATATACCTTGGTCTCCATCTTGTTGACGATCACGCTGTGCAGGGCCACTGGAAACACCACACTTAGCAGCAAGACGCCCCCGCACAAGTCGTACACCTTGCAGCAGCGATCCAGCGACACCGTGTACAGATATGAACGGATGCCACCGATGCCGGAATATAGATCAGTGACCGCCAGACCGTGATCATTAAAGCTGTAAAGCGGTTCCGTGCTATCCTTGCCCCCGCCCGTGTCCAATGGGGCGGCGGAGAATGTGAGATCCCAGACCAGCACAGATCCGTCCTTGCCGCCGCTAATAAAGTGCTCGCCGTTGTCCGTGAAGCGCAGGCAAGTGATCGCCTGGTAGTGCTTGGAAAGTGTGTTAAGCATACGGCCGGAGTTCATGTGCCACAGGTAGATGTTCTCCTGGATGGCGGCTACCAGAAAGTTCCCATCCGGCGTCAGGGCCAAGGCGTTGACTTTGCCGGGCACCACGAACCGCAAACCGGCCATCTGCTCCTGCTTGTTGATGGGCCACACGTGGAGCAGTGGCTTGGCCGAGTTCGCCGCCATCACATAGTTGAGGTGGATCATGTCCAGGCTGTGGTGCTGGGCGCATCCGCCGCCCTTGTAACGCATCAGGTCGGTACCTGTCCGCAAATCCTGCACGCTGCATGTCGTGTTGTCCTCGCTACTCGTGCTGATAAACAGGGCTTCCACAGCGTCTCCCATGATGTAATCGGGTCGAAATGCGAGCTGGTATTATAGTACCCCAAAATGTTGATATTGCATTACTATTATTTATAAATTCAACCGGAAATAAGCGGTAGTTTCTTATCGATACACGAACGCGTGATTTGTCTTGGCGTATCGAACAAGTATTAAGGTAATCGGTGTGGTTTTCCTCTTACGAAACTTGGTCACACCTAAACTCGGGGGGCAAATAAAAATAATAATTTGTTATAAAATAAACATTTTAGTTCCTATTTGGGCCTTGAGCTAACAAAATGCACCTGACGCTGATCAATTTGTTCAAGAAGACTGTGCCTGGTCACATATTCCGAGGCAAGCGGCGCCTGGTAAAGCCGGTGAGCCAGCGAGCAATGGACACCCTGACCCGCGAGTACGAGCGCCAGGAGCAGGTGATGCTGCTCCTCCGGCACCCGTATATCACCCTGGTAAGTCTTGCTCGCTATACCCGCGGATTGTCCGACCTAATGCCACACTGTCTGCCTTTAGGAACAATCTTCCGGCCACGCCAAGGAGTTGCAAAAGCGGGAGAAGCTGGTGGCCAAGTGGACGGATGAGCAGACACTGCGCAAGATGAAGCCACACGTCACCATCGAGGAGCGGCTAAACCAGCTGAAGATCAAGGAGGCCTGGGACTAACTGTCAAAGCTGCAAAGTCGGCGTTACTCGTTAAATAAATCTAGATGTTATGGAAATTATATAATGCCTGCTGGACTAGAGTTTGTTTCGCCACCCGAATAACATTCAAATTCGGCTTGGTTATATTTGCGTACGAGCTTTTGGACACCAATCGACCCGCATGCTCATCTGAAAGACACTGTGCTTGACCAAGCTTCCACTTTTTTTACTCAACGCTCTTTCCGTGTTTGCCGCTCATATCGCTTTTATTTGTTATTTGTTAAATTGCGTGTCTAAGTGTATATATTAATAATTCTTGTATGTTATGTATATGAACTGTTATGTACATATGCAAGGCATGTAACATGTTTTGTCGTTTCCACTTCCGTTTGCTCGGACAAATCCGATCGCCATAATCAGAACGCTCCCAGCATCAATTCGTTAGTACGCTACAGACTAAAACTTTATTATTTAATGGATGTTTTGTCTTGTTGCTTCATCTGTATTGGAGTTGGTTTAGTTTAATGCACACTTTAATTTCAATTTTAGGGGTTCTCACTTTTAGAAAGCAATTTCAACATTTTTCAAATTGAAAAATCATATTTTCCAAATGCCACAAGGATAGGGAATGGTCTTCGGAATACTAGGGGTTTAACTAGTTTTGAGGGGTTGGAGGTTTGGATTCGCTTTCGTGTCCGGCCCGAGTCCGTCGCCATCAGCTTCTCGATGTGATATATCAATAATACCAATGGAAACGCCTAGAGATTGGATATAGCTACGAGGTTGCCTCTTATCATTTGTCCTAAGTTTCGTTTTGTTTTTTTCGTTACTATCATTTGCGATTTGCCTGCTTTTGGTTAATGATGCGCATAACCTCAATAAAACATTTGTAACAATTTTAAATTAACTTTAAAAAAATAGATATATGCATATTTGTTGCTGCTGCTGCTCCACTGCCCTCCTGCTGCTGTATACGAATATATGCGTAATAGTTCCGCCTTCTGTTGTTGCCATACCTCTGGCTGGTACTACTTATCCTCCTGAAGATGGAAATCCTCTCCAGCTTCCCACTCAATCGGTGGCCAGCGGCGCGGCACCAGCCTTTTTCGCAGAGGGCGTAATTGCATCGGTTCCCTCATCCTCCGGCTGCACATGCTCCGACGCTTCGGCATCGGATCGGGAAAGCGGCGATACTGGCAGCAATGGCGGTGGCGAACTGGAGAGCATTGCAACGGGCGAGGCACTTGTGGTCGCCGCTGCGGCTCCATCGCCTATGCCCCGCTCGGGAGCTGGCTCCGAAACAGATGACGCCGCTGTGGCGACTGGAACTGCAACGGACGCGGACGACGGGGTGGGCGTCAGCGGCGGAGAATCAAGTTGCTGTTGGCTGAACTCCTGATTGGGGCTCTCCCTGGTAAATAGACCCATCTTGGACTCAGATCCCGCAGTGCCCGGCGCTGTCGGTGCTCCTCCCGCCTCCCCGCTGTCTGTGCTGGAACTGATCAGCGAAGCAGCCACTGTAGGCGCAGCAGGACCGCTGACCAGGTGCGGCGGAGCGTGTAGTGGGACGTGTTGGTGCTGCTGTTGCTGGTGCTGCTGAGCTCCATGGTAGCGCGGTATGTCTGCCTTGCGCCACAACGTGATCTCCTGTTGCTTGAAGTAGCGCCGGTCCTCGGTGTCCATCAGCACTAGGTTGAGGAAATACTTGACCGAAAACTTCTTGTTAATGTCCCGCATGGTCGGCGTGAGATTGTAGCCGGCAAGGAAGACCCGGATGGGTATGCTCTCGCCTTTAACGGGCGCTCCGTCCATGATCTCGTACTTGGCAATCGTTTCGTTCTCGTTAAACATGGTGGGTCCCGTGCCCGTGCTCTCTTTCTTGATGATCGCGATCTCCATGTGCTTGATCTTTATGCGCACCAACAGGAAGTAGATCTTGCCGATAATCGTGTCCCGCAGGTGATACTTGCTTTTGTTGTACTCAAACTCGATGTGCAGGCAGTCTTCGATGCCTACCTCCATCTTGATGGGGTTGTTCATCTCCGGGTAGCTGCACAGTGTGTGCACGGCAATGTCGACCTCCTTGGTTATGTCGCTGATCCGCCTGACGATCGTTGCGCGCAGGAAGTACCGCAGCCGCACGTTCGAGCCGGCATACACCTCAAACTGCTTCTCCACTTTGGGGAAATCGAACGGATAACTGTTGTTCTGGATAAGATCGCCCGGACGGGCCAGCGCCTTCGCTAAACACTTGAATTCGTGGTGGTTACCCCGGTCGTAATACAGCTCGATCTGGCCAATGAATTCGATCTTAATGCCCTGGTGCTCCAGCTTGCTGCCCGGCTTCTTAAGGGTCACGTTCACCTGGATGAAAAGGGGGTGGATATTGGTTTATCTCTGGTAATTCTTGGGGGGAACTCCCCCCGATGCTGACAACGACGCACCTTGCCGGATACCGTCTCTCCGTCGTAGAAGAGCAGCATCTTCTCCACTTTGCCGTCCTCCCCTTTAACCTCCGCCGTTTTGTGCTCAGCTCCATCAAAGACTATCTCAATGTCCGCTGACTGGCCGAATCCCAGGAAATTCATAATTGATAAACGTCGAATCGGCTTCTTCTTCCTCTTCTTCTTGCCCCTGCCTCTTCTTCTTTCTGTTCCGATGGAATGTCGACGCTGTGACCCCTGTCGGCGGTTTTTCCTGGCGATATCTTTCAGATAACGCTTTTAATAACCCTCAGCTTTAATGGGCGTTTTTCTGCGGCCTTTTTTCGTCCTTCGTTCCGATGCTGGCGTATGTGTCGCGTCTGTGTGTGTGAAATGAAAAAAATTGCAATTTTTCACACTACAGCGTTGCCATATCGCGTCATTCCGAGTGTTATAAAGGAGTGCCAGCGCTGGTACTTTTCAGTATTCAGTATTTGCATGGTATTCTTCAAAGATTCTTCTTCATGGTATTCTTCTTCAACAAAACAATTATTACCGATAAATAATTATCTTATTTGGTATACAAAATCTTTATAAATATATATTATATATTTTTATACATTTTGGTTACTGTTCATTAAGTGAAGTCTAAATGTATTTGCGTGGTATTTATATACCAGTTAACCTAATCACCCGCATACCAAAATCCCGGTATTTAAATACTGCACTTATTCAGCGGAAGAAAACTAAAATTAAAGAAAATAAAAAAAATAATAAGCCGGAACGATGCGAAAGTTGACCAGCTTCGTGTGCGGCACAGGAGCCGGACTGGCGGTTTACTACCTACAGCGGCTGCGAGACCCGCAGGCGACCGTGAACAATTCATGGACGAACAGTGAGAAGCCGGTGGATCCGTGGGCTCTTTGGGACACCAACTGGGACTGCCGGGAGCCACGGGCCCTAGTGCGTCCATTGCGAAACAGCCAGCCGGAGGAGGAGAACCGCTACAACGCGGAGTTGGAGAAGGCGAAGGCCAAGAAAGCGCGCCACATTATCCTAGTGCGGCACGGCGAGTATCTGGACGTGGGTGATTCGGATGACACCCACCATCTCACGGAGCGCGGCCGCAAACAGGCAGAGTTTACTGGAAAACGGCTCTGCGAGCTGGGCATCAAGTGGGACAAGGTAGTAGCATCCACAATGGTGCGGGCCCAGGAGACATCCGACATTATACTCAAGCAGATCGATTTCGAAAAAGAGAAGGTGGTGAACTGTGCCTTTCTGCGTGAGGGAGCGCCTATTCCGCCCCAACCGCCAGTAGGCCACTGGAAGCCGGAGGCATCTGTAAGTAAAGTCAATGGTCAACCCAGTGCGTATTCCACATGATTTTCGGATTTCATTTCACTGCAGCAGTTCCTCCGCGACGGATCGCGCATAGAGGCCGCCTTTCGTCGATATTTCTACCGCGCCTATCCTGACCAAGAGAAGGAGAGCTATACCCTGATCGTAGGACACGGCAACGTGATCCGGTACTTCGTCTGCCGAGCCCTGCAGTTCCCCGCCGAGGGTTGGCTGCGGATCAGCATTAACCACGCTTCCATCACATGGCTGACCATTAGTCCGTCAGGCAACGTGTCCATTAAGTATCTGGGCGACTCCGGCTTTATGCCTGCCGAGCTGCTTACCCATCGCATACCGCGTGACGCCAAAAACGTGGTTTAGCCGTCTGTTTATAGAACTGCCCGAAGGAGAAACAATCCAAGTGTATTTATTTCCTATCCCTAAAGTAAACCCATTGAGCTCACATCGCGTAATTGTGTAACCAGCATGTACATTATTGCCGCACCGTAAGGTACCTCCTCTCTAAAGAAGGAATCATTGAATCTTCCGACTGAAATAAAGTTTTTATAGAATGCCTTACTTTATATAGCGTTATACATATGTACAAAAGAAGTCATGATCTTATTTTATTAAACCTAAACCCTACTCAATACCTTTTGGAGCCGCTGCAGGCACTTGCGTATGCCAACGTCCTCTCCAGCGCCGCGTTTTAGCTCCACCTGCTCTGCCTGCTCCCTTATAAAAGTTAGGAGTGGAGCCACTAGATCCGGCGCCAGCTCTGCCAGGTTAATCAGCATCTGGAAGTAAAAGTAGGTGCAGTGGGCCAGATGCTTTTCGGCGAGGGATCGCAAGTGATTGGAGCACAAATCCCTGACCGCCTGTGATCGCTTGTATGCATCGTGGGAAACAAGCACTTTATAAAGTCCAAACACTTGGTTGCGACTGAGGTCCACTTCGTCCACGAACATAACGTGCTCCAGCAGCGGGATGTGCACGCCGCGCAAAAGGGTTAACAGTTGCTCTTCCTGGTCCTTGCCCGTGCTCTCGATCAGTTGCTGCATGATGGTGATGACCAAGCCCGCATGCGGTCCTGCCCTCCTCCGCTGGACCACTAAAAACTGCGTCATCAGAAGCTGAAGCACAAACTGCGCCAGCTCTCCATCTGCATCCGCCAGGAGGAGGGCGGCATATGGACGGGCCACCAGCTTGGCGTTGGATGAGAAGGTAAAGTGCGGGGTCCAGTGCTGAACTAGCTGCTCCAGGGTCTTGGCCACGTATGTGTCCGTGCGGTAAGGTAGCCGACCAATCCCTTGTAGCAATACTGGGAAAATCTTATGTACCAATTGCGGCAGACGACCTTCGGGCGGCACTCCCGCCTGCAACTGCGTGGTGAGCAGGAAACGAACCATGGCCAGGTGGAAGAAACAGCTCGGCTTGGATCGCACGTACGCCAGAGTGGGACAATTATAAATTACAATGGCTAAGAAGCTGAAGAACCGGGATCCCAGTTCCGATCGGCTTCGGTCCGGAGGAAGCCAAAGCTCGAAATGATTTACATAGGCATGCAGTTTGTGACTCAACTGCATACGGACGTGGGCAGCAGCCTCCTCTTGCTGGGCACGCCTTCCCAAAGCTCCAAAAAAGGCGCAGAGCGGCTCACGTCCGTCCTCCAAGGAGGCGGGATCGATGGCCAGATGTCGGAACTCCTCTAGCTGTCTGACATGGGGCATTAAAGCCAATACAGACTCGTGTTGTGCGTTTAGGAGTACCAGAGACTTCACCCACACCTGGAGAATGGTGGAGCTTGCAGGCCGTAAGCCGTCTTCCAACACTTGGAGCATCAACTGAGCAGAAGCAGCCATATTAATAGGTTCTGGTCCCTGCAGGAAGCCCAGTAGCAGTTTGTCCCCATCCTTCTCCAGGGCGATGAAATTGGCCGCTAGCTTTGGAAGCCATGTGCTATGGCTATTAACGTATTGGGTCCTTAGCAGTGGCATTATGTGCTGTTGGAGTGCCTCCTTGATGCCACTCGCATTGCCTGCCACAGCTCTCGGCTCGCTGAGACGCTGGATTAAATAGTGAAGCGTCTGCCATACGCGATCCTGCGATGCCTGACCACACTTTTCTACGTAATGTGCCAACCAGGGCCCAAGAATCTGTTGCTCGCCGCGGTTGAAGTCATCCGCCAGATTAAAGATGGCTTGAAGGCTGCCAACGTAAATGGCGCCCACCTCTGTATCATTCCGAATGGTGGCCAACTGGTTGAGCAGCTTGCCCACATAATCATCCATGGACAGGCGGTGCTGGGCATGCAGAAGCAGCAAGGCCATGTGGCCCTTGGCTACGAGAATCCGCCGCACCGGAGGCAGTTTATCTAGGGCAAGGCAGAGCAGCATTTCGCGCAGCTTGGGCGCCAACTCGCCGATATCTTCATGGCAGAGCAGCAGACACAGAAACAGCTCGATCACATGGTGAATACCGGGCTCATTCAGAGCCAAAAGTTTTGCAGCACTAAATTTGCTGAATATGCGGCCGAGTAGTTTCTGGCGTTGGTTGCTTCTGCCCTGCGATGGCAAAAGCTTCAAGGTTTTGCCTAACATCCACGCGTACATGGTGAAACTGCTCAGATTCAAATCATCTATATGGGATTTCGACAGCAGTTTGCTGTAGCGATCCACGTAGGCCGCTCCATTGGGACAGGTAAGCGGCAGCTGATCTAGCTCAGCACCCACACTAAAATTGCAGTTTAGAGATCGGTGAAAGTACTCCCACAGCTGGCACAGCACATCAGTATCCGGCTGGCCAAGCTGCAGTTGAAGAGGAGAGAGTAGAATTAGGTAGACACGCCGCTGCTGTTCGTCCGGCTGGCTCGCGAGAAATTGCTTAAGCAGATTGGCGGTTTGAAAGCTGTCTGGTGGCGCTGTGAGTGAGTGATCCGGCTGGTACCGACCTTCATTGTTGTATTCGTCTAAACGGGCCAGACCAAGCCTCAGCCAGGAATAGAATTCGTGGTATGCCAGAATAATGGCATTGCTCTCACCTGGAGAAAAAAAGACTGTTATAAAAGGAATGCCGCACGATCTAGCTACTTCCGACTCTCACCCTGCAAGTGGTTTGTCCTATGCCTCTGCATGGCCTTGTGGAAAAGTAACCAAAAATCAAGCTCCCGCTCACCCAGCCATTTGGAAATAAGACGTTTCAGCAGCAGCCACAGCTCCTTGTTGCAGCGGCACATGAACGGCGAGGAATGGATGAGTTCCGGGCGATGTTTACTGCGGTAGTGATGTCCGGCACATACGACCAGATCGTCGAGTGTGCGCTCCAGCTGCACTAGGAATGCTTGATCCTTCCCAGAGGCGTACAATATATGCAGGTCCAAAAAGCGCCACTCCAGCACGCCATGATACAGGTGATATGCCGGCGCCTGGCAGTCGTTGCCCTTGCTGTTCTCCGCAAAATACAGAACCTTCCAGGCGTCCGCATCCAGCTGATCGTTAAGCAACTGGCGAAGCCCATCAAGAAAATGTGATGGTAGCAGTTCGTTGTCTCGCAGTCGCAACAGCAAATGGTAGAAGTGAGTGACCTGATTTCGCACTCTATACCATCCGGGGTTCATGGAGGCGGCCGTGGCCTGCAGTTGTTGCTGACCCGTCATCACGGTTAACAGCTTCTGCACATTCTTGCTAAGAATGGGACAGTTGTACTTGTTGCCAGTTGCCAGAGGAGTTCTAAACTCACCAGGCCTCCCCGTACAGGTAGTTCCTCACCGCGCCAACCGCCAATTGGCCCTGGCCAAAGTCAAAACAGAGATTCTCCAGCCGACAGCGGGGCGGATCCAATTGAGCGTAGCCATTGCCCAGAAAGCCTCCCTCAAAAAGTTGGCTCTTCAGCGTGTCCCGGCCGTTGCAGTTGAACTCAGGCAGGAAGTCCAGACCGTTGTTTAGGGTCTCCTCTCCACTATCGTCTACGTCCATTTGGGTGCTAAGGGCTTCCTGCTTCTCTGTAGCCTGGGTGAAAGCGACCAGGATCTCCTCATCGTCATCTGACTGAAAGAGGTCGTAGTCCATGGTGCAGGCAGGGATTTGGTTTTCGAAACCAATTCTCTGGAGGATTGGATTTCGCGCGGCGATATATTTATCAATAGCATTTAAGCGCTGTGCAACACTGTCGGAAAGCCGATAGATTCGATAACGGCCGATAAAGAGGTAATCTTTGTGACATTTGGACCTTTGTTTTGGACCTGACTTGGCCCCTTCTCTTATCGCTGTTTGCCCCAGTTACGTAGCATCTCCACTTCGAACACCATGTCGTTTCGCCCGTTGGTCGAGGGCGACTGCGGCGGAGTTAATCCTCTCATGCAGCTGGGCGGACAGTTTACCCGCGATGTTGCCCACAAGGATGAGGGTTATGTGCAGCGGCACTTCGAGCGCGGCGCCCGTCCCGAGGACCAGTTTATCAACGAGTTCCTGGGACAGGTCGCCGCCCCGCCGCAGTCATTTCAGATGGACACTCTGCTGCAGGAGATGAGGGATATAAACATTCACGGGAATCCGCAACAACAGATGCACTCTCAACAGGCGGAACAGTGGGGACAGGACTTTGCCCGCGGATTGGCACCCGCCCTGCCCAACAAGATGATCCACATGCAGGCGCAGCAACAGGACCTGCAGCATGCCCAGGAGTTCTTCGACGAGCCCCTCATCAGTAGCCAGAACTTTCGGCCCCTGCATCGACAGGCTCTGATGCCCATTGCGGCAGCACAGCAACAGGACCCCTTCTTTGACTCCACCATGGAGACTATCATCACAGATCATCTGCCAGAGGCTCCACAGGGGGAATCCCTGGACGACTGGATCAGCGACTACCAGCGCAGCACCGAACAAAAAGAGCAAACCGCTTCCAACTTCAACGAAAAGTTCTGGGAGCGTCTGCAGGACGAGTGGCAGAAGCTAGCCGACGAGAACGAGCATCCGTGGCTATCGGAGTACAACGACAATATGGACGCTTACAAGGAGTATGAGTTCGCCGAGGGCAACCCAATGTCTGAAGTGGAGAACCCGTTTGAAAAGGGCAAGGAGTACCTGGCAAAAGGGGATATACCAAGCGCAGTTCTTTGTTTTGAGGTGGCGGCGAAAAAGCAACCGGAGCGCGCTGAGGTCTGGCAGTTGCTGGGCACTTCGCAGACAGAAAACGAAATGGATCCACAGGGCATTGCGGCACTGAAGCGGGCCTACGATTTGCAACCGGACAATCAACAGGTCCTAATGGCCCTGGCAGCGTGTTACACCAATGAGGGCCTACAGAACAACGCCGTGCGTATGCTGTGCAACTGGCTGGCGGTGCATCCCAAGTATCAGCACCTGGTCGCAGCCCATCCGGAGCTGCAGGCCGAGGGCACTTCGTTGGCTTCGTCGCTGATTGGTCCAAGTAAGCTGCGCGATCTCCAGCAGATCTACTTGGAGGCAGTTCGACAGCACCCGGCTGAGGTGGATGCCGATGTCCAGGATGCCCTCGGTGTGCTCTACAATCTCTCCGGGGAGTTCGACAAGGCGGTAGACTGCTACCAGTCCGCACTGCAGGTGGATCCCCAAAATGCGAAGACGTGGAACCGCTTGGGTGCCAGTTTGGCCAACGGTTCGCGCTCCGTTGAGGCGGTGGAGGCTTATCAGCAGGCGTTACAGCTTCAACCAGGCTTTATCCGTGTGCGCTACAACGTGGGCGTATGTTGCATGAACCTTAAGGCCTACAAGGAAGCTGTGGAGCACCTACTGACAGCGCTTACTATGCAGGCTCACACTAACGCCGCCCGTGAGCTGCCCAATGCGGCGATGGCAGCTACCTTTAGAGGGCAGAACCAGATGTCTGAGTCCATTTGGAGTACCCTGAAGATGGTAATTTCACTGATGGGTCGCAGCGATCTCCAGAGTCATGTGAGCGATCGTAATCTGGCGGCTCTTAATGAGGCCTTTAAGGATTAACCAGTCCGATTTGCAAAAAACACGTTGTCATGCTCTTGTGGTGTCTAAGGTTGAATTTGAGATATATTTCACTATGGTAGTGTAATCATTCCCTCTCGGTTCTTATTTGTTGTATAAATTTGTCTATTTTCTTAAATTTAAGCAATTAAATAACTGTTGGATAAATATGGTCTGCACATTTATTATAAACTACGGCATGCCGCCCAGTCGCTTGTAGTCGATCTTCTCGAGCTGCACGAGAGGCTTTAACTGCTCGGCAAACACTCGCATTTCCTCGCCAACATTCTCCTGCCCCGTGGGCGCCACCACAGAAAGTTCTACTATATAGCTTTGTGAGATTGGTTCGTTGGCCATGTCCTGCTGCTTGCCGGGCACAATTTTAATGAGCTTGGAGACCGTAATCTTCATCCGACCCTTTCGAAACATGTAGCCTGAAATAAATCCATTTGTCACTATGCACTATTTTTTAACTTAAGCGTAATATATGACTCCAACCCTTGGCTATGTACTCGAACTCCAGGCGGAAGCCCATTTCCGTGAGGAATTCCAATATGCCATTGGTGCAGGCGCAGTCCATGCAGCTGCGTACCAATGTGGGCCGGCGCTGATCCACCTCGGGGTTACCTAGGTAGCGCATCTGAAAGGGAGCATCGCGACCAAGGGCTCGGCGCACGCGGAGCAGCAGCGGCTGGTTGGCATTGGGCTGGCGCAGGCTCATGCATACTTCCAGGTCATGAAACGGCTCCGGCGAGGTGTCCACATTGTCGCAGAGTCCCTTTAGTCTGATAGTGGTGAGGTGGTTAGGTGGGTGCAAACGATTCAAATCTGACGTTGGGTCTCCCACCTGTGCATCAAGTGTTCGACGGCGGAGTCCAGGATGGATCCCTGCAGCAAGTACTCCAGGTTGGGAAGGAAGCGGTTGTTCATCGCGTGGGAGAGAGATTCGCGGGCCGATGAAACGATTGCCATTGTTTTAGTTTAGTTTCGCGTTTGGTAAGATATGGTGTTAAAATAACTAAATACACTTTGGATTTTAAGCCGGCTTTGTTATGTTTATGTTTTCGGTTTTTTGCTATTCGAGTGAATTCGTTTCACAAGTGATACCGTTTTAGAGATTTTTCGACGGCTATTAGCTAGATTCCAGGAAATCAAAAGGTCTATCGATATCGATGACTGCAAATCGACGCGCACAAAATATAGGCAAATACGAATTTATTTAAAGCATATTCTTAAAGATTGGTTCACCGTTAATCCCCCAACGACGCCCCCAAAATGGCGGATCATAAGTACAAGCTCTTCAATGCGGTCGATCCGAGCAAAGTAAAAGTTCCCTTCAATCAAAAGTTCGCCAATTTGACGCTATCCTCCCATAAAAAACGACAGCAGGTGTCCCATGTGCCAAAGGATCAGCCAGAAAAGAGGAATTCCCGGGAAATAAGGAATAAGGAACTGTCAGCAGATCCCATGCGTGAAAATGTGGGTGCTCCGCCCTGCGGAGCAAATACGGAACTCGACAATTCCGATTACATGGAAGCCTTGCAGTTGAGCGCCGACGGCTGCAGCCAGAATGTAGACGATGTGGGCGATGTAGAGATACTGTCCGCCGGCATTAGCAATTTGAAAGTGCAGTCGACCAAGCCGGAGATCTCTATTTGCATTTCTTCCACCACTGAAGAGAACATATCCGGCGACGACGACGCCGCCTCCTGCATCACCATATCCGATTCTAGTGAGGATGAGGAAGAACCCTTGCCGCCCGATAGCATGACAGTGAGCGAACGGGAAAGTGTACCTAATCCCGGTCAGGAAAACATACCACCGCCCATGCTCACAACCGAAAAAGTGCAGCGTATCGAGGCTTTTCTGCGCGATGTGTCCATCGAGCGACACGAGATGGAGTGCAATGGCCCATTGACACCACCCCCCCTCTTATCTAGCAAGCGGCAATCCCGTCTAGCTGAGGCAGAAACCGAATCCATGTCGCCCACCGACGAGGACTGGCAACCACCCGTTACCAGGCCGATTTACAATAGCACACAACTGGCGAACGACGATACGCAGGTGAATACCATCTGCTCAGCAGATGTCACTCGATTGGATAGCAGCAAGCGATTGGCAGACGACGAAACAGAGGCGAATACTCTCGGATCGGAGGATCTTGAGCCCACAGACAGCAGCAAGCGTTTAGCAGGCAATGACACCGAACTCAATACCCTGTGTTCAGATAACTCTGGGACTCATGACCAGACGATCCACGACAAGGAGCCACTTCCTGATGAATCAATTGAAATACCGGAAACAAGCAGCGAGGGCGAGCCTACGCCGCAAAGGGCTAGCTCTGGTTCATCGACATCGGAAGAGGATGATGAACACGATTCAATTCAAGTCAGCAATATTAATATTTCAGCAAAGATCAACATTAAAATCAGCATTCCCACTATGGAGTCGAGTTCGGCGGAGGACGAGGATGAGCATTACTCTTTGCCGAGGACCACAAAGTCCCTGCTCAACTCTGAGGAGGTGCAACACCAAGAGCACCATCAGCAAGAGTGTCAGAAAGCAGCCCACCAAAAATCCATGGTGTCTGTGGATAGTGCTTCCGAGGATGAGCAGTTTCTCACCCACGCAGAAAAGCTGCTCAATCAATTGTATGGCAAGTCTTGGCAAACACCAGATGTTATTCGTACTCTAAAGCGTTCCAGTGGTAGTGGGGGAAAGAAGGATCCCCCGAGGCCCATGACCACCGCTAAAAAGAAGCAGCCTAGGCCAGACGAAAGTGTTCTCGGGGACTTTAGCATATGTAAGAACTTAGTTTTAATATCCTCCAACCGTCGAGTGACACGCACTTTTATTCGCAGTTACCAGAGCCCTGCGCTCAAATCAGACGCCTTTAAACTCGACTCGCCTGCCTCCCGTTCGCGCTGTCCAAACAGAGAGACGTCCGCGTACTCAAAAGCCATTGACACGACCGCGCACCAATCATGTGGACGAGGATCGCTGGCGCAAGCTTATAGATTCCGACAGCGGAACAGACGCCTCCGACGATGAGGATGCAGATGCCACTTTCAGTGAAAGCGGTAGTGATAGCGACAGTGCTTCAGGCAAGGAAAACAAGCAAAATGGTGGCGACCTTACTTATCTGGACTTGACCAAAGACGAGGTGGAGGTGGTCAGCAATCCTGACCAGGATGCGCCGTGTAAGAGTTAAATTTGTATTTTATATATTAATTAGCATATCTGAAAGATTGTGTAACTCTTTCTAGCGCCAAAATTGCATCGTCGCCTGGACGATATACTGCGCTCCTGTCGCGCCAGCGTTAAGGCGAAAGTGCCTGTCACGCCTGCGCCCAAGACAAACATTCGTCGTCAACTTTTTACGCCTAACACTGGATTCGAGAGCGATATTCAAGCTAAAGAGATAGTGGACAGGGCGTTGAACTTGGACATGCTGGAAGAACTAGAGAACGACTACCTACCAGGTAGTCTAGTCTACAGGCGAGTGCAGGAGGTAAAAAAGCAGCTTGGCATTGGGCAGCAAGGTCAGGCAACGCCTCAGCAAAGCTCGGTTCTCAAGTTGCTTACGCCGAAAACGGCTCCGCCTAAAACCACTGCACCGCTCGAAACAATCGCCACGCCAAAACCTACTGATCCGCCGAAATCTACAGCTCGCAAACCTAGGAAGAAGAAAGAGCTCTTACCTCTTACGACCGATGGCAAGTGCGGCTTCCTGAAATCCCTGGAAAAACAAGTGACCCGCGATAGGGCGGATAACGAGGCCTACATCTATCGGGAAAACTTCGCAAGGCATAAGGATCAGCTGACCCAGCACCTGTACAAGATGTTTAATGCACAGGTATTCAATAACGAGCTGGATGTGCCCATCACCTGGTCCAAATTGCTGCGCAACACTGCCGGGCGGTGCATGAACAAGCGCAAGTGAGTGATTCTCATAGCTATAACTAGATATCCTCTTTCAACTCGACTTCTATATTTCGTTTACAGACTAAACCAGCGTAGCAGTGTGGTGGAACTGAGCGTCAAAGTGCTGACTACCGCGGACCGCCTGCGTTGCACCTTGATACACGAACTCTGCCATGCTGCGGCCTGGGTGTTCAATGGCGAGGGTGGACACGGTCGGGTGTGGAAGATGTGGGCCCAAAGAGCCAACGATAAGTTTCCCGATCTACCACAGATTAAGGTCTGTCACAACTATAGCATTGATTTCAAGTATACTTACAAGTGCCTAAGCTGTGACAAAGCGTAAGTTTTTCTAAACGAAACAAAGAATATTATTGTAATGCAGTTTTTTGCATCACAGTTCACACGCTCATTCCCGATCCCGCAAGGTGGAGGATTTACGCTGCAGAATCTGTCGGGGACCCATCACACTGTTCCTGAACAAAAAGGACAAGCACGGAAACACCGTATCCACGCCAGCGGGCGAGGCAAAGGGATTTGCTAAGTTCGTTAAGGACAACTTTCAGAAGCACAAGCGTGACAACATGACCGCCGCCCAGGTGATGCGCATTCTAAGCGTGGAGTACGCCAAGCATAAAGGTCAGCCGGCGGCGGAGACAGCGGCGTCGATCGCCAGCCGAGTGGAAACATTGACACTGGACGATTAGTCCAACTAGCAGGGAATTAGAGACAAGAGGCTGGGTTCTCATTGAAGTTTTTGCTTTCTCCTGTTAATGGTGTTGTAAACCATAAATCATTATATTTATATCATAGACAATTTGAAAAACTTAAGTGAGATCTCAGTTCATGCGAAGTCGATACTTGTATATTTTGTTTAATATATTTTTTCTTAACCAAGAAACAAGGTTTCCATTAAAGTTTAAGGGAGATTTGAAACCCAGTGTTCTGTAGCTCGTTTTTACATAGCCGGTGCCGGCTGTCGGTGTTGGTAAAGGTAAAGCTTTGACTCATTACTTTATACAGTGAAAGAGTTTGTTTGTTCAAGAGTTAATATATGCCTAGTACAACTTACGAAATAAATGTTTTGCACAATCTTGAAATTTTCAATTTTAAAGGGTTTACACTGATGAGAACTGAATGGTGTAATAGTCTTAAAAGGACTAGACACATAATTATTTTCGAGATACAGTAATACAAAAAATTCCAGGGTATCCCACGGGCTTATTCTCTTTGGTCAGCGGCGCATTAACGCTGCGTTTCCGCAGTAGCTTTGGTCACACTACCCGCACTCACACAAGGCCACCGTAAACATTTTGTCGCAGAACCGAACACGTCAGCTACGCGGATTGATTGTAAAACAACATTTCTATCGCCCCGCAAATCCGATCCGTAGCAGCAGTTCATCCTGCGCCGTCCGCATCCGATCCGCGAAGTATTTTCCAGGGCAAAAACGTGAAACGCAGCAGCAAAATGGTAAGAGCCCCCGACCTACGCACACACGCACACACAGGCATACACACCTACACGTCGGCGATTTTGGGGCTTAGGGCGAGGGTTATTGTATTCCGGTATTATCACTAAACGTATCCGACTTGCAGGTACTCATTGCTGCGGCTGTATGCACGAAGAATGGCAAAGGTAAGTGGCTTGCATGCGCTTCAAGAAATTAGCCCTTTAGTTAACCCGCAAACGTACACGCAGTGATTCTGTCACGTCAGTTCGTCGAGATGACGAAGGCACGCATCGAGGGTCTGCTGGCTGCCTTCCCCAAGCTGATGACCGCTGGCAAGCAGCATACCTACGTGGAGACCGACTCCGTGCGCTACGTCTACCAGCCGATGGAGAAACTATACATGCTGCTCATTACTACCAAGGCCAGTAACATTCTGGAGGATCTGGAGACACTGCGCCTCTTCTCGAAAGTGGTGAGTCCCGGACTGAATTACACAAACCCCAGTTTTGATCAGCCACAACTCTTGCAGATTCCCGAGTACAGCCATTCGCTGGACGAGAAAGAGATTGTGGAGAACGCCTTCAATCTGATCTTCGCCTTCGACGAGATCGTGGCACTCGGCTACAGGGAGAGCGTCAACTTGGCCCAGATCAAGACCTTCGTGGAGATGGACTCACACGAGGAGAAGGTCTACCAGGCAGTGCGACAGACCCAGGAGCGTGAGGCGCGCCAGAAGATGCGCGAGAAGGCCAAGGAACTGCAGCGTCAGCGCATGGAAGCCAGCAAACGGGGTGGTCCCTCCCTGAGTGGCATGGCCGGCCGCAGTGGCGGCTTTAGCGGCGACGGATTCGGCAGTAGCGGCGTGAGCAGCAGTTCTGGTGCCTCCAGCGCCAACATTGGCATCACTTCCATCGATGTGGACACCAAATCCAAGGCGGCTGCGTAAGTCCTTTCTCTCCACTATTTTATTCAGACTCTGGACTTATTGCTCCGCTTTCATCAGCAGTAAACCAGCTTCCCGAAATGCCCTCAAGCTGGGTGGCAAGTCCAAGGACGTCGATAGTTTTGTGGACCAGCTGAAGAACGAGGGGGAGAAGATAGCCAATCTGGCACCGGCGGCGCCCGCTGGAAGTTCTAGTGCTGCATCCAGCGCTAGTGCAGCAGCCAAGGCAGCCATCGCGTCGGACATTCACAAAGAGAGGTGGGTCTCATCATGATTGTTTAGTTCATTATTAAATGCTAAATACCTATTTTCAGTGTACATCTGAAGATTGAGGATAAGCTGGTAGTGCGTCTGGGACGCGATGGTGGCGTGCAGCAGTTTGAGAACTCGGGCCTTCTCACGTTGCGCATTACGGACGAGGCCTACGGCCGCATTTTGCTAAAGCTATCTCCCAACCACACACAGGGCCTGCAGCTGCAGACCCACCCCAACGTGGACAAGGAGCTGTTTAAGTCGCGCACGACCATTGGACTAAAGAACCTGGGCAAACCGTTTCCCCTCAACACCGACGTGGGTGTGCTCAAGTGGCGCTTCGTCTCGCAGGACGAGTCGGCCATCCCACTGACCAGTAAGTTCACCACAACCACTACTTGCGTCTCGCTCATGTGCTTCTCGCTTTTTTCCAGTTAACTGCTGGCCATCGGATAATGGAGAGGGTGGATGCGATGTGAACATCGAGTATGAACTGGAGGCGCAGCAACTGGAGCTGCAGGACGTAGCCATTGTCATTCCTTTGCCGTAAGTGCAGTACTTGTATAGATGTCGAGGAGATTACTCAATTAATTTCATACTCAGAATGAATGTGCAGCCTTCGGTGGCAGAGTACGACGGCACCTACAACTACGATTCACGCAAGCATGTGCTTCAGTGGCACATTCCCATAATCGACGCCGCCAACAAGTCCGGATCCATGGAGTTCAGCTGCAGTGCTTCCATTCCGGGCGACTTCTTCCCCTTGCAGGTGTCCTTCGTCTCCAAAACGCCGTACGCGGGCGTGGTGGCCCAGGATGTGGTGCAGGTGGACAGCGAGGCGGCGGTCAAGTATTCAAGCGAATCCATTCTGTTCGTGGAGAAGTACGAGATCGTGTAGGCCACGCCGGCGACGCCCACCTAAGTAGTACATAAATATACATAATTTTCCCGGGTCATCCGATGTTGCAAATTATTTTTCCATGTGCGAACTTTAAATATTTATGGCGCAGACAGCTTCTCAGAGCGAGTAATTGATTCCAAAAAAAAAAAGAAACCATCAAAACCAATTACTAAAACTTATTTTGTTCACTCCAAGCGCTGCGTATAACGGTATCAAATAAATTAATTGCAATTAGTTGTAGTTGCCGATTGCAGTGTTTTGTTTTGTTTGCTTCGTCGCATCGCTACAATTGAAGTAATTTGTATGTAAAATGCTATGAATAAACCATCTACAATATATACCAAAGTGCATTGTTTCTGGATTGTTTACTATAAGCAAACGTTACACATTTTTTTTAAACTGAAACCCGCATAATAAATTTGAGTCACGTTTTCCAATTGGTACCCACTGTACATGCATTCCAAGCGCCCGGCTTGTTGGTATTGCAGTCTTCTCGGCGAACGGTCACACTGGTCATTGTTTTGGTTCTGTTCTTGCTTTGTTTTTTCAGTGCTCGAGGTGTTCTACGTCGCGGAATAAAACATCGCCCATGGAGCAGCAACTGGAGAAGGTCTTAGCGGAAATGTAAGGATCCTCGATCCGTCGATACCAGTGATTACTGCACGTAAAGCATAATTTAACATAACATAACATATTTGCAGCGCCGCACGGCAGGACACTGTGGGAGCTCTGCTGTCCAATCGCCAGGGACTGTGTTTGGGCAGTAAGTATCGATGATTAACCAGGGGACATAGCATAAAGCCGATGCATCTTTGCAGCCAAGGGAGACATTGACCCGAACGTGTCCGGCATCGGAATGGCCATTTCCGAGCAGGTGGCCAAACTAGAGCCTAATGCCACGGCTCCGGCAACGATTTGCCTTTATAGCGGGAACAAGTAAGTGGGAGGAAGGATCTAACATGGCTTACCTTGGTGGAGGTATGCTTGGGATTCCGGGCTCCATTTGTAATCGAATAAGACGAGTTCTGCAGCTTTAGGTGCTCTTATTTTGCCCCCATTCACGTTGTGTTGGCCTCGACCAAGTGTAAAGACCTTTAAGATGTTGGAATCGTCAGCTTTCAAAGACAACGATTTAATCATTTATTTATTCATTTCTTTCCTCACAGACGCTGTGTCATCCAGAAGGATGGCGAGATCACGGGCGTTATCTTCAAGCAGCAGACGGGTACATCGGCGACCGCCACCAGCAACTAACAAAAGTTGGGGCCTCAATCGCAACTCTCAGGCCAAATACGCAAGTCAAGATACGGATACAAAGCTAGATACAGATACATATATCTTCCAAGTCGCGCCCGCTTCGCTCGATTCGCCCGATGGCAGCGCCTGTTACATTTGTCTCTCATTCTAACCGATAACCATAAGCATTGTTTTGTACGACTCGCATAGCATTAAGCATTACGGATTACGCATTAAGCACTGCTGTTACTTGATCTTATTTGTCTTAACCAGTCTAGCGCCATCAACATGTACATACATAATGACTTTGTACGATTAAGCCCCAGAAAGTGAACACACCATATACACCAATTAAATTTATAGCGATGAAGCAAGCCAGCTAAGAGCTTTTGAACTTGGCCACTTACTCGATTTTCCAACGTAATTACTCAATCATAACGGCTTGGTGTGCTTCGTGCTGCAGTTTCTTGCACATTTTCCGGGTTTGCATTTCGGGTTGGGTGCGCCGCATCGAGGAAATGACGGCGCCCACGTCATGTAAGTAGTTGTACACAAAGGTGGACGTGGGCATGGCATGCTGCATGCAACAAGGCGGTAACATTGCAGCGGTATCAGTAGTGCCAGCAGACAAATTGCAGCGCATTCCGCAGCTCACGAGCCATGCACAATACAGTCGAACCTCAATGGTGCCGGCTGACTCAATTGAAGAGATTGTTTGCTTAAAACTTCGATAACTAATCGCAATGTTAGTACATTTCCATGCGAAGTCCTTGTTGATTGGCATTCAGTTTAACAGAATAGTTGCTATACCTTCGTTGGCTTTGTAAGGTTTTTGCTGTAAGTGGAAAGCAGCTTTACACGAGAGGGATGGCGTCTGAAATCTACCAGAGATCTCCGGTCTCCGATCCCTTGTTCCATGCTTCCTGTGCTACCGCCGCGCGGAGCAGCTCGTTTGGTTGGCTTTGTGCCTCGGATATTCAGGCACATCTGCTAGGTAAACCCACTCTGTTTGTGCCTTGTGTCTACCTGTTGCAGCCTTGAACTTTCACCAGGGGCACTGGCGACCCACGTGTGGCGTCTAGGCCTCCGTCGTTGCCTCTTTTTCGTTTTTTTTTCCATCTCTGTGGGTGTTTAAAAGCTGCGGCTGTGCAAGGTAAACACCACAGAGACAATAAAGTTGATAAAACATGACTAAAACAAAATATGAACACCGAAATTGGCACCAAGGTGCGTTTGTTTAGCCGCCGCAATGAAGCCTTCAACTTGAATTAAGCGTTCAGTTGGATGGATCCCCATGTGACCACTGATGACCTATCTCCGTGTTTGCTTGCATCCGTCAGATATGGAGAACCTCACTTAAAATTTTCCCGCTTCCGAAACCTTATTACCCATACGCAGCGTTGCCCCAAAAAACTGAAGGCATTACAGAAGTGTTCAAATTTTTTAAAATACACATAATCTACTTTTACAGAATGCCGAATGCATCGAACATTAACCCACATCTTTCGTGCCCATCACTGTGAGCGTCACTTTCGTTTTTATAGAACTGAAAGCACGACGAGGTAAAACTGGTTACCTTTCCCAACGAAAGTTCCCCAGCGAGATGATTCACGTTGCAGTCGAAGAGAAATTCCATAGTACGGCGCTGCATTTTTCACATACATAGCGGAATCTGACCTGATCCACAAATAAGAAACACGCTACCTGATTCATTAACGACTATTAAAGATACGAGAAACAATGAATTAAATAAACAAAGAACCTAACTGAAAGGTCAATATAATAAGCAGCTACAGTAACCACAATAATGAAGTAGTAACAATGTTCAGGAATATTAGGCCTTACAAAATAATCAGTTTTTTGTTCATAAAAATATAAGGAATTATCCAAGTATGGAATGTCATACCTCGTTGGACTCGTAATAAAATTCCCCATCGGATGGCGTTCAAGGATTAAAATGTTAAATTTTGGCCATTTTTCGTAAAAAATTATGATGTTACCCAGTTAAGAAGCAACATTTGGCCAAACATGATTTCCTGCCCAAAACCGATCGGTTTTTAGTTCATAAAAATAGAAGGAATTATCCAAGTATGGAATGTCATACCTCGTTGGACTCGTAATAAAATTCCCCATCGGATGGCGTTCAAGGATTAAAATGTTAAATTTTGGCCATTTTTCGTAAAAAATTATGATGTTACCCAGTTAAGAAGCAACATTTGGCCAAACTTGATTTCCTGCCCAAAACCGATCGGTTTTTAGTTCATAAAAATAGAAGGAATTATCCAAGTATGGAATGTCATACCTCGTTGGACTCGTAGTAAAATTGCCCATCGAATGGCGTTCAAGGATTAAAATGTTAAATTTTGGCCATTTTTCGTAAAAAATTATGATGTTACCCAGTTAAGAAACAACATTTGGCCAAACTTGATTTCCTGCCCAAAACCGATCGGTTTTTAGTTCATAAAAATAGAAGGAATTATCCAAGTATGGAATGTCATACCTCGTTGGACTCGTAATAAAATTCCCCATCGGATGGCGTTCAAGGATAAAAATGTTAAATTTTGGCCATTTTTCGTAAAAAATTATGATGTTACTCAGTTAAGAACCAACATTTGGGCAACCTTGATTTCCTGCCGATCGGTTTTTAGTTCATAAAAATAGAAGGAATCATCCAAGTATGGAATGTCATACCTCGTTGGACTCGTAATAAAATTCCCCATCGGATGGTGTTCAAGGATTAAAATGTTAAATTTTGGCCATTTTTCGTAAAAAATGATGAGTAACATAATGAGAAAAAAATGTTGAAAAAAATTAATTTTTGGAAATTCCTGAAAAAGTGAAAGAGGTCGATAGCTATGGTAATAAGCTGTGAAAATCATGATCACCAGACATTTGGAACGTCATGGCTCGATTTCGGGTGTAATATCTCATCTTGATCTCAGGTGATTATGTCATGGGCAGGGCGACCAATCGCCGTCTCCAAACTCCCGCGGTCGATGCCAACTATCACGTCATCGTGCATATGCTGTGCATGATCTATAAAATGGGAATTGGGATCAAATATAACTTCATTGGGGAACTTCGGACATCGGCAATCGACATCGGTAAGATTGAACTGGGAGTATAGTTCGATGGGCAGCCATAACTTGATTTTTATAGCTGAGCCGCAAAGAAGTGGTAGGCTGGCCAACAGGTGACGCAAAATACAAAAATATGATACAGTGACGCCGACTTCTTTTTAAAAAAGCTGACGCTCGTGAATCATCGGATTGGGGAACTCGATTTCGGGCTTTCGCCTTATTTGGTCGCTTCTAAAGCTGATTCGGAATATTGCACAATCTTCGTGAATCATTGGCCATTTGGCCGAATGCCATTGCTTGGCATCTGGTCAGATAGCCAACCCAGTTACTATAATTTCTTGTCAGATGCCGTCCAGAGTGTAATACTTCGAACTCCAGGGCGAGTAATCAAACTGCACTTGCACTGGTTGGCAATTGGTTATGGAGCAGTGTGTTCTGCCCAGCCGTGACGGCTGTTAAGTGGTCATCTAATTGCTTCACTGTGGGGAAAGATTTGCATGCCACCCATGGGAGTGGGAGAATATTGAAAGAGCACACAATGGGCGATGCTATCTATCGCCCTTCCCGTATTGAGTCTCCCGACTCGGATTCTCGGCCAGCGATTGCATAATCTCGTCTCGGCAAGTGTGTTTTGCTAGAGATTTCGGTTTCGTGCACGGGGCATTACCTATAGATCGCGATGCCATATGCCAGAAGACAACACATCGAAACACATCCCAACTCTGCCTATATACCAGACAATTAAAACAATTGATGCGATTTCTCGCACAAATGTGCCAAACACGAACGTTCAATTTATATTTAGTCGATCGCCTTCATCCGTCAAATGATCATCAATGGCCCCCCGCGCCCCATCCACCCCGCACCCCTTTCCGGTCATGAGCCACAGGCAAGAAACTAAAGCGATTCAAAATCGATCAGTGATCGCTGATTGCTGATCGGCGATCTGGGGTTTAGTGGGGCCTGGAGCGATTGCATTGTATTGACATATCGCAAGACTACCACAATCTCTCGTTACATCAAAGACACATTTTGCTCAGATGGGCATTCTCATGCCCGCCACTCTGGTCTGGGTCTGGAGTCACTTGAGAGCCACTTTCTACTTTCACTGCTGCACACCACTGCTGGAGTTCACTTCGCACTTGGGCGCTAACATGGCTGGAATTGACGTCAGCGATGGCTGGCTGGTGACGGCGACGGTGACGGTGACGGTGACCTCCGGCCACTGGGCTGATCCGCTGGCTCCCGGCGATTGCATGGCAATCAGTGTATGATGGATTCAAATGGACCGTCTGCCATGTGCACCTTGGATGGAGTCTGCGGCGCAGATGCCTGAGATACCAGATCCCGAGCACCCGTTGATTGCTAATTACTTAGTTGGGCAAACACTAATTGTGTACTCAAGGGAACCTCAGCTGATCACACAGATCACACAGGCGCTTCCGCAAAGTTGGCTTTACAGCTTTTGGCCGCAGGTGTGGGTACCAGCTGCAGGTTACAGGTTGAATGTTACGAGCATTGCCACCTACCGAGATCCGGGGCTACCTATGCGATGACTCCCTTATCCACTGACCTCGCGACGCAGGGCCAGCATCGACGAAGTCGGCTGGAACACATGCGGTTTGATCTTGATCGCCGCGCTAAGGTAACGCGGTTTGTAAGCACAAGTAGTAGAATAGCAGTAATAGCAGTAATAGCTGTAATAGCAGTGAAGCCCATTTGTTTGGCCAAGGCAAATAGATGAACCGTCCAAATTAAGAGGCATGCGCAGTTACTGTTAGCAGCATCAAGTTGATATTTTCCATAAACATTACCACATGCGAAGGTGAAAGAATTTCGGCTGTGCCTTCGTCACGCTTAATACCCCCGATTGATACCCAATAGCCAATCTTTGGACCTCTAGAATGGGTTTCCAGGGTTTCCCTGGGTTTCCGTGCCAGAAATAAGAACAACTCTGTTGTGAGTGTTTAGTTTTAGACAAATCTTTGTTGCTTTTATTCTCTTCAAATTTTCGTTGTGCATTTGCATTACTCTTCTCTTTTTCCGTTCAATATAAAGACATCTGCTTGGCGCAGTGTACTTGTGCTGAAACTTATTCTGCTAGGAACATCGATTTTCAAATAAAGTATTCCTCGGCTCGTTTCAGAAAACCAGAATCGAGGAACAATAGTTAAACGTCGACAGTTTCTGGAGAGAAAACGAAAAGTATTTCTTAGCCTAAAATGGGGGAGTTCAATGTGGAAAATTGTACACTTGAAGAAATTTTCAATGAACTTGTCGCGTGATTCGTTAAATAAATAATCAAAACGTTTGCAGAAAACAAAAGGTTAACCTAACTTACGATTATGCATAGTGTATAAAGTAGTTCAAGTTAAACTTTACTTTTCTTCGTTTCCTTTTGTATATGAGATGCTTTATTCGTAAAAAAAATAAAAGAAATGATTGGGGGGTAAAAAAAACGAAACGAAACCAAACGAAACGAAACCTAACGAAACCTAATGGTAAATGAAGATAAATGGAGTGATTTTAGTTGAAAGTTTTGGTCAAAATTAAACTTATTTGGATTGCCTTTCTTTTTTGCGTTTCTTAACAAAATAATGTATGTGCGGGTATGTATATATTTTTGTATTTTTGCATTTTTGTATTTTTCTATTCTTTTTTTAAGCTTTTACTTTTCATTTTCGTTTGTCGTGTAAATATGTGAGAAAGTGAAAAAACATCACAGTTAAAACTTCAGTACATTTTCTCGTGGTTCGAAATAAATCAAGAAAAAAAAAACAATATGTGTATATACATATGTAGATTAAAGTACTATTTCTCTATAAATATACGCTTACAAAATGTACCTTATGTACCGCATATAATTATGTGCTTATCCTCCTCATCCTTCGCTTGCTCCTCTTCCTCTCTTGCCATTTTTGTCATTTCAATTTTGCGATTTACTTGATATAGATACGCTGAGCCAACCCCTGGCAATTGGGCCCTATACAGATGTTTAACCGAGATAAGTCAGTTAGTTAACAGTGGTGTTATAGAGACCGATTGCCAGGTGGGCAACCCAGCTGAGATTTTACGATTGTGTTTTGTTGAATACAGTACTAGTACAAACTAGGCGTTCCTACTGGCTTAACAACTAAAAGTACTTGCTGCCCCCCAATGTTACCGATCCGTCCCCAAATCCATCCCCGACGGAGCCCGATGGAGCCCGATCGAGACCCCTCAATCGTCCCAGCTCCAAGCGGGATCCAGCTCACGGTTGACCCTCCACAGCATCAGCTCCATGCAGGCCCGCGAGTCCTCGAAGCTGCTGTGTCCCGTGGTGCCGTCGCCACTCTGGATCTCCCGCTTGAGGTGAACCTTTGTCAGGTGACGCAGGGCGCGGCGGTAGGGAAACCCGCTGCAGTGCGGGAAGCTGATGGAGGTGTCGATCAGGGTGTTGTGCACCAGGCGCAGTGCGCGCAGATCGTTGTCCAGCCCGTGTCCGATGAGGATGGTGTCCGCCGTGATCAGCTGGAGGAGATCCCGCTGGACCTCGGCCAGACTCTTGGCTCCGGTACGCAGATCCCTCTCCGTAATGCCCGAATACTGGGTGTTGTAGTCAATTATGTCGCACTCGGGCCGAACAAAGTGCTCGTACACCAATTGTCCATTGAGCGCCACCAGGGAGACCTTGGTCACGTCCAGACCACGACCCGTGTAGCTCATCTCGCAGTCCAGAGCGTACACGGCGGGCTCGTCCTCGCTGGATCCCCGCTGCTCGGTCCTAACGAAGTCGTAATAGGGCCCATTGACACCCACCACCGATCCCGTCCACACATGCCGGTCGCCCAGGCAGCATCCCGGGGAGGATTCCTCGCCCTCGTTGCAGCACGTCCAGCGTCCGTGGCAGACGCCGTCGTAGTACCGTTGGTACTTGCCCGAGTGATAGTGGCACTCCTCGCGGGTCAAGTATTGGCCCGTCAGTTCGTCCACCAGAAAGTGGCGCTTGCAGCGGGCACACGGCTTGGCCAGACTCCGTTCCACCTGGACGTACTGGCAGTACTTGAGCTCGAGACTCAGCTCGGCGTCGCCGGTGGAGGAGGACGATGAGTTCGAGGACTCGCACTCGCTGCCGCTCCACTCGCCGCCCGACTCGGAGTCCAGGGAGCGGGGCGAGCTGTTGCCGGAGTCGGTCGAGGTGGCCACCTCCTCCTCCGCGCGGTTGGTCAGCCCGTCGTGGTAGTTGATCACCGTGACTGCCGGTGCAGTTTCCGCCAGTGCAGCTGCGAAACTCATGTGCGGCAGGCACTTGAAGATTTCGATGGCGCCTTCATGGACCACCGACTCCACGGGAAAGCCGTAGACTCTCAGCAGATGGTGATCTATGATGTGCCGACGCAGCTGCTGCACCACGGTGGTGTCGTCCAGATCAAGTTGCTCGTACTGGCGGAGGGGTGGCACCAGGAAGTTGGCGTTCTGGCGACCACGCTCCCGCTCCCGGCGCCATTCCAGAGCGGCTCCCGGCATCAAGGATCGTTCGATCCGCTTCCGGTTTCCATTGGCGTGGGGGGAGCTGGTGGGCGAACTGGTGGGCGAGCTCAGCGCCGAGGAGGAGCTACTATCGCAGGTCTTCCGCTGACTGTTGCCGCCGTGTTTGACCATGTTGCTGTCGGAATTGCCGATGCTGCTGCTGCACTTCGCGGACTTCTTGTTCCTGCCGCGCTTCTGCTGCTGCTGCGGCTGCTGCTGTTGCTGCTGCTGTGGCTGTTGCTGCTGCTGCTGTATGTTGCTGCTGGGATTGGGCTGCTGTTGGCGCCACTTGGCATTCGCCTGCTTGGCTTTCTGGCCCGCCATGGTTGCCGCTGCTCCGCTCCTCTGGCCATTCTGGTCAGGATTGCGAGCCTGCTGGCCGGACGGCTTTTGCTGGCGCTTCGAGCGACTCTTGCTGCTGCCTGCCACATGGTTGTTGAAGGTGCTGCTGCCGGCGCTCGAATTGCCCTTCGGTTTGTTCAGGAGCTCGCTGCTGGAGTCTATGTCCTCGCTGGTCGCCTCGCTGCTGGTGCTATTGCGATGCCCCGGATTGTGCTGGCCTAGGAATTTGTCTGTAAGAAAGGGGGAGTGGGGAGTTAGTTTAAATAGGTACACCACTTTTATAGCTCTGTGATTCAAACCGATCGCAAGCAGTTACGTTTAATGAGTTTGTGCGACTATTTTATGAGTATGAGTACGAAGTAAACCGATTTGTGGACTTTCATTAACTAGTATCAACTTTGATTAATTTTTAACAAATTAGAAATCACGCTTTTAGTAGTTCGTAAAAGAAGTTATTTATGGATTATTAAACTACCACCTTTGCGAGTTCGAATACTACTGGTGTGGACTTGTATTTATTGAGCTGTGCTTTTAATTCATTAGGCAAATTTCACGATCCTATTACCATAAAATAAAATGTTCGTTTGGAAATTCAAATTTCTGATAACAGCACACACACAGGTGCAGCTAGCTAATGCCGACACACACGCTTATCAACAGAACCACGTGCTTTAGAGCTTCGCTCTCTCTCGCACCTCTCTGTTTTATTATTCACTACACTCAGAACTTTTGGGCCATAATTGTTAGATATTTCAAAATGCTGAGTGTCAACTATCGCAGTTTCGAGTGCTCAATAAATACAAGTAAATGGTAGATTTTCAATTGGCAATTGAAGCGAGTGCGTGTGCACCAGGTATGCATGAATGTTAACTTATTTCTCTCCGTGCAAGTGCGCGTATTTAAGTTTCGAGTGTGTGATTTGATTTAGGGAAGGTTACGCATGACTGGAAATCGACGCATGTGCGGGGTTCCTTCCCGACTTTTCGCAATTCAGCTTATTTGGTTGCCACCCAGGGGGCGGGGGCTGGCTCGAAGGGGCAGCAGGGGGCTCGCGTTGACGCATTACAATTATAGACGTTTATTATGACTATTATGTGCCCGTAGCTGCTTCCGCATTTAGCTCAGCGCTTCTCCTTCGTTTCCCCGTTCCCATTCCCATTTCAGTTCTCGTGCCGAACGCGAATCTTTCGGATACATTGGTTTCCAGGTTCCAGGTATGTTGTCCAGCCCCAAGAAAGTGGGGTTGTAAGGCAGCGAGGAGTTCCGGCTACAACGTACAATAAATCACCAGCTTCTTCCTTAGTTTACCTACTCATCAATGATCCTAGAGTTGATCCAGCGAAACTCGGCCATGTGGTGTCTTCCTGTTCCGCCTCTCGACTTTCTTATCTGCCACTTTGTACTGCCACTGGCTCTTCCGCCTCCCATCAGCTGGCAGCTTACTTGGTTACCCCCAGCTCGAGCACTTCCTCAACACCCGTGTGCTGCTCCCCAGGCACACATCAACGGATTATGGAGTATGTGCACCCCTTTGGGGGCCCAGAAGGCGGCAGCCACTCGTCTGAAATTGAATTTCAATGCGCGCATAGATAAATCATATGGCAGGTGGGTTTGTTGACTCCGCCCGGCCGAAGGACGCCGGGCCACTAAGCACCCGGACGTGAGCTGGAAGCCCAAAGAGCCGATGGGATCACCGGGCGGTGCTGGAAATGATATTGGCTGGATCGGGTTATGGTTTACACATGTACATATGTACTCGCCATGGGTATGTCCATCACGTATGGGTGAGTACATGGGGCGTCGAGTGCGTGGTCAGCGATTAGATAAGGCGTGGCTGGTTTTGGGCGTGCTTTGGCTTCTGGCCGGCCATCTGTGCGGCTCTCGGAAGCCCGCCAAATCACTAAAATGTGGTTTCCAAACGCCTTTATGACAGGCCCTATAATGGAGCACTATCGGCGACCCACGCACGCGCCAAACTCTTCGAGCAGCCTTGAAAGAGCATAGAATAACGTATACTATTTGTGCGTTCGACTGAAAGGTAAACATAGCTAAGTTTGTGATCGAGAGTATGGGCGAAGTCGGTGATACTCTGCACTTCGGCACTAGAACCCCAAAACGACTATTTACAAGATCTTCTTTATGACACGTGATAATGGCCGCCTTCAAGGGCATTCAATCTCTCCTCACATGCAGACCTTAACCTCAGGAGGGGTGAAAACATCTCGAGTGTTAGATTAGATAGTTTAGTTAAATAAGTGAGACTAGCGCCTGGGGCGACTGGCGAGTGCTAATCCATGAGTACACGCAGTGGTAGGAGCACTCGGCTGGCGTAGAAATTGGATATAATTGAATAATTGGCGGAACTCCTCTTCTCAGCCCAATTATGCCTATGCTAGAGCCATGCCATCTGTAGTACGAGTAGTGCCATGTGCTAGAGTGGAAGGCTACCCACATTTGGTTACCGGGCGGCGATAAGATGTGCGTGTCCAGGCACTGGCCAACTTCCAGTTACCTACGGCAACAGCGCCCCAAATTTCCCTCGAGTGCCGCGATTGTCTCTGCACCTGTGATTGCGATTGTAATTCCGATTCTGATTCCGATTCTGATTGCGACTTCGACTTCTACTTCGATTTGATTGGGAAGCGAGTGTGGTTGGCCGTCCTAATCAGTTCGCCGTCCTCCGCTGATGCGGCAATCCCGAAATAACAAATCACGCGAACCGCCAACCCGGTTAGCAAATACGAATTGCCCAGCTGTTGGGGCAGGAGATAGCCCTGCCTGGTGACGATACGATGGCAAATGGTGACGCAACTCTGCCATAATGCTCAGGTACCAGCACGTCATGGGGCAGGCAAGGCAACCCATTCGAGTGCCCAGACTTACACAGCTTCCCAGGTGCTCGGCGTGGCCAGTGTATAATTTTGTGCGACTTAAAAACGACCTTCGGCTTTATGCGCCGCTTCCTGTGCCAAGACAACGAACAAATTACTCGTCTCGCAATTGGTTTGTGCATTTTAATGAGCCCGAAAACTTGGCTTTGAGCTCAGCGAAACATATGACTATGATACGATGATACCATGATACGGTGATACTATGATACTATGATACTAGTTATAGCGCGCTCACGTATGTCACCACATCCCGCCGTCGTCCAAAGTTTGGCACAGTCCAAAGTCGCCTCTGCTGTAAGCCATGTGCCACACACACACAGCACGGGCTTTATTAATCAAACATACATGCATATGTATATATTGCATGCAAATGCGGCCATCGAGGTCAGCAGAAGGGGGTCAAAGGTTCAATAAGGTTTCGGTCCCAAACAAAAGCAGCGATTCGAAAGAGCAATCAAAACGACTGACTGAATCTAGACCTCTAGATACGCCACCTAGATGGCTCCAAGTCATTAGATAATACCTGGCACTGCTGCAAGCGATGAATAATCTTGATGTGCTAATTGGGCGTGCTCAAAAGTATTTACTCTTCGCTGGATGTTCTGGGAATAGCTTAATAGCATCCAAAAGTATATTAAAACGTTTCAGAGCACTTTCCTGGACTATCTTGCCATTGCTATGATCTGGATGGGCATGGTGCAGACCTAATCCTGCTACGAAAAGGGCTTGCTGCGAAGAAGGGCTAATGAAGACAGCTTGATGACTGGGAGTTTGGACGAGAAGAACCAGGTGTAGCTGTGATATAATAGGCGAGTATGCGTTGCCTATTGAACTTTCTCCTCTGGCCTCGCCCACTGTGCGCGGACCTCGCGGACCTCGCTGATCTCGCTGATCTTTGGCCCCCAGGCCTGGCTGGGGATCGGATTGGATGGGATGGGATGGGATGGGATGGCGTCGTATTGGAGACACGGACGGACTCAGACAATGGGTAAACGGCCGGTGCCTAAACGGCGAACACGTCGACCTTGACTATTGCCGGCGGCGGGGAACCAGAACCACAGACGCCGGGGACTGTGGGGCGACGAGGGGTTAAGTGGAGGGGCGTTGCGAGCTATTCCACGGATCGGCAGCGAAATGCGAAATGCGAAATGCGAGTGACGATGGGGCTGCTCATCACGATGAAGTGCCGACCTGCGAATAGCTGAACAGCAATGAACGGAATTGCGAGCACTTCTACGGTTGCGTAGTGCGGCTACGGATTTCGGGCGGTAGCGGTCTTTAATGGGTTAAAATGCGAGCAGGCGTACATATGTGCAAAGTGCACTGGGAGTAATGGAAATAGATCGGCAAAACTAAAAATAAATGTGCACCCATGGACGTAACATCGAGGTGGCTGCCGCCCAAAATGGCAATCCGAAACGAGTCCAAATCCAACTTGTGGGGCGTAAAAAACGCATTCTTCGAATGTCGGCCGCCGTGGAAGACATTCCTCTGGCCATTTAGACGATAATCTCAATTGGGACAATGCTGCAAAGTCCAAGACTAAGGCTTCTAGTCAAACTGGAAAATGGGGCATTCAAGTGCGTACTTGGGGCTCTTTGAAAGATACAAAACTACTAATCAGATGATTGGCTGTATTCCTTATCTGAGCAATTGCATTTTTTTGGGAAATCGAACACTTTCCATAGAGAACATATAACATAGGGATGAACCAGTTTTGGGCTGCAAATCTCGTTTGGCCGGAGATCTCGGAAATGGGCTCTAGGCCACCTTCTTCCAGCCAAGTGCTAATGAATGACAAAACGATCTCTTGCGCAACTAGTGAGCAAAACACATATATGTACGAGTGTGTACGCTTAGTTCGGTCCACGTCGATTATCAGTTCATCGTTTGACCAAATCGATCGACTGATACTACGCCCAATAACACACCTGATACGGCAGAAGTCGAATAGAAAATAGCATTTAGCAAAAGCAAATAGCAAATAGCAAAAAGCAAAAAGCAAAAAGCAAATAGCAAGTGGCAAATAGCAAGAGCAAACAGCAAGCACAAATGGTTAAGAGGCGCCAGCTGATTGGGAACTGAAAAATCTGAGCTCTAATCAGCTGCTCAGTTTTGCGTCTTAGCTTTCCCCACAAATACACGTTCTATTCCAGTTCGACGATAACAAGAATTAGTTAGACGCCCGATTCCGGAAAGTTTTGCTGATCAATGCCGAAAAATAAATAGTGGAAAATTCGAAATCGCGAAGTTACGCTAGAACCAGTCATAATAAAGTCGGTATCAATCCAATTTACAACAGTGGAAATACGCCCAGTTACATACATTACATACGCTTCCAGCAAGAGAATCACTAATAAGGGAAGTGATTTATGTGCTATGACCATCAGCCATCCATTTGCAATCATAATTGCCGATCAATAAATAGACAAGCCAAAACTCAGCACCTTCCCGATGCGCATACATTATGAAAGTGGGGAAAAATGTAAATATTTAGCTTTTTATGACTGCTACGGAGAAGATGCCTTTGTTTGTTTATTTAATTTCCTTTTGTTTACGTCGATTCGCCGCGTTTTTAATTGAATTTTTAATGCGAACGAAAGCGAAATTCGCAGTCCAAACCCGAATGAAAGTGGCTGTCTATCTATGTCCCTAAATACACGTACATATATCCCGATAGATATTTTCATATTTTCTCAACTGCGAACCAGCCTGATTTCTAGTGCTGAGGTGCTCGAGCGTTTCAATTGAAATATTGGTAGCCTAGGGCTTACCCCCCATCAAACGGCTGCTCAGAGATAAAGCCAGTTTGATAAGAACATTCCGCAAATAGATATCGCTTCAGTTCAAGTGGACTTGCATAAGTTTCCCCCGAAGCGCAACATGGAAAATGTAGGGTGGGCACTTGAGCTCGGCTCGCAATTAACATACTTAAAAGCCTGGCCTAGTACCAGAAAAATGTGTGCAATCATGACAGATGAAGAATAAGGTACCCGAAAATACAATCAGCAGGCTTTCTCAAAACTTTTTGAGTGCTCACTGGACGGAGTGAACTCAATCCATCCGGAGGCATTGTAATAAGAAATCTCAGATCCTCCGCCCATCAATCCACTGACCCAGAAACATAGATCGGAGCTCTCTGTACTCCACTGTACTCCGCGGGAATGACGCAGTCTTGAAATAACCGTTCCCGTTCCGTAAACCCGATACCATCCAAATTGGCGTTCCCGTTTCCATTGCCGTTAGCGGCGATGACGCCAAATTCGTGGCCGAGTGTGTGTGATTCACTCCAGATGCCGGCCGATTTGCTTGGAATTTTATTAAAAACAATGCGAAATCGTGATTCAGCGTCGTCTTCATTTTCGTACCCATGAGCCGAGATATGAGCATGTGGGCGTCGCACTGACTAAACCGCCGTAGCCAGAGGTCAGTGCTGGCCAAGTGACTCAGAGTAATCGCCGCACTGAGTGATTAGCTGGACCTGATTAGCTGCCCGCCCATGACCACCAAGAACCATCCACCAATGTAGCATGCGTAAAGTAACCGGGTGCAAGCACTCACCTTCGATGCATGAAGAATGGGCCAGCCGGCGTCCGTAGCCCCGCTCGAGCCAGGTGGCTGTGGGTGGCGCGGGAGAGCACTCGCTTGCGGCGCCTCCAGCGGCTCCATTCCGCTTCTGGATATGCTCAAACTGCTGCTGCTGCTGCTGCTGCTGTTGCTGCTGCTGCTGACTCTGCTTGTTGCTGTTGTAGCGGCTCTTGCGAGAGGAGTTCTTGCCACCGGCGCTGCTGCCGTGCTGCAAGGCTGCTGCCGCAGTGGCAGTGGCGTGCTGCTGGTAGGCCAGCATGCCGCTGGTGGCGGCTAGGTTGTTGCCGGTGTACTTTTGAGGGCAGCGTTTGTTGCTGGTCGTGGTAATGTTGCTGCTGCTGCTGTTGCTGTTGCTGTTCTGGTTGCAACGCTGCATTTTGTCATCTGCAAAAAGGAAAGAGGGCAGCGCATTAGTAAGCGTAGTGGTGAGTGAAGAGCAAAGGTTTCACAGCCTGCACATAAACGTAGTAAATCCCAAACTTACAAATCTTAAGTAGATGTACTTGCAGGAAATCTTCGAGAAAGAAATGCATCGCACCGCTGCAGACATAAACGCGATCGGATTAGTTTCGGTTTTGGCAACAAGGCTTTGCTTGTCTTTTCTCTTATAATCAGTGAATGGTGATCGGCGATCGGGTTGAGGTGTAAAAATATTTGTAAGAATATTTGAATTTGGTGGCGAGCCTTACTAACCGCCTGCACTTGCAGTTGAAAGCCAACTAAATGGCGCGATTAGCGAACGCTCGCGATATAAACAAAAGCTGGACGCCAAGAAAACAAGGCGAAAAACCCCAGAGACATAGTCGTGCAATTCACAATTCGATGACGACACAATGAATCACCCGCTGCCGCTGATAAAGCGGGAATACAGCGCATTCATCGCTCGGTCGCTCCTTCTCTTTCTATATCTCTGTTGCCGCCTCTTTCGCTGGCAGAATGAAACCTAGGCCAAGTCGCACTGTGTTTCGACCAGCTTTCGACCATCGACCAGCTTGCGACCAGCTTTCGACCACGTGCCCCACACGCTTCCTACTTAGATAAAGGCGCCAACGGGTCGTATGAGCGATGCCATTGGATGGGCTTTTCTTGTTTGCCACACAGGGCTTTTTCTAATGCGAAGTGTAGGGAATTTGTAGTGTTTTTAAGACTGGGCTGCAACGACATCCAATTCTGTTGTGGGGGCGCCCTGTTTTATCTGCCAACCTTTGACCCTCGAACCTCGAACCTCGAGTTAAAACCGTTTCGGAAAAGTATGCAGCTTTTGCGCTTTTCCGCTATTCCGCTTGTCCAATGCTTTCGAAAATTTAGCTCGATTCGAATCGGTTTGGTGGTGTTGTGTGCTCACTAAAGACAAAACGAAGCGAAACAAACGGCAATAATTTTGATAGTTTTGTGCAAATGTTTAGTTTGTTTTGAAAATGTCTTGAACTGTTCCGATAACATGTTGATAATAATATTCCACAGCACTACGTCAACTGCCAAGGAGCCCAGTGCTCAGAAAACGGAAATCTACCGGGCCATGTGATCCGAAGTTTTTCCCCGAACTTCCAATAAACCACATCATTTTTCCACATAATTCGACGGTTTCGGGGTTCGGTTTCAGTTTCGGAACCAGTCAACTCATAGGGCAGGCCAATCATGCTATCCACATTCTCATGGTTTCATAAAGAGTCGATGTGCGCTTGGTTGACGACTTGAATCCAGTTTGAGGATTTATACACATATGTATATAAAAAAAACTACGGGCAGCCGGCGAATATCTTTCCTGTGCGAGTGGCACAACTCGTTTGGATTATACTCGTGCCCAGTTTGTTGTATGCATTTTGGTTGAGTGGAAACCAATGTTTCGAGCAGTTGGTTTCCTAATTTACGAATAGCGAAAGCTCATACTCAACTGATGCATTGCAAACCAGCAGCTTCGCAGGCAACTGCAATTTGTGCCCCTTAGATACATATGAACCTATGTATGTTGGGGAAATTTGTTTTTCCACGTATTTCGCAATTTCGCAATTTCGCAGCTTCGCAGTTTCGCGTATTTCCTCTGCTCTGGCCAAAGCAAAATTAGTTTTGTTATGCTCGTGAAGTCTTCATGTTTGCGTGTGAATTTTAACACTCAATAAGAACATTTGCCGGTATTTTTAGCCGGCGAGCACACAGCAATAGGTTCATCATCTGGTTCGCTTTCACTGGTCCACCACCATAAATGAGTCTTGGAATTTCGACAATTATTCGCTTATGGCGAACCAGAGTGCCAAAAGCAACAACTGCACAGATCGCACAGCTGCGAGCCGCCAGCAAAACCGAAAATGTAAAAATTATACATGGACGAATAAAACAATAAGACAAAAAATTGTCCGTCAGAAAGTCTGAAAGCCCAAGACGAGCAAAAGCCAGTCAAAATGACGACTTTGCGAAACAGGTACCAGTTCGTGCCTAGCGCCGCTCCATGTGCGTACCGCCTGCCCTGCCGCCTTTCCAGCGCCACCCACCCCACCACACTGGAAGAAAATACCTGGCTGCCATCGCCATCGATTGCTTCTGCTCAGCGCCTGCTGCCGTTGAGCACTCCGGTTTCTGCCAGTGCACTGGCCGCGCAGAGCGGGAGAACTGCCCGAAATAATCGGGTAATTCAGGCGTTCTTCTTGGTAATATTCATTTGCCGAATGCAAAATCGCGAAATTCGCCTGCGGCCACGCCCCCGCTCGTCGTCAATTAGGGCGTGTGATTTATGTGTGGAGCCGCCGCACTGAATGGCGATGAATCGGCATGCGAATCGAAATCGGAATGATGATATGATATTGCGTGGAACCAGTTTGGTAAAAGGCTTAGGCTTACAAATGCGACAAGTTCGTTGAGAGATCGCTGTGGGCACGTGTGTGCAATCACCCCAGGCCCCACTGTACCGCCACCGCCACCGCCACCGCTCTTTCTCTGTTTTCTTTCTTAATCGCCGCCTTGCCAAAACGGAAATGCATTCTATTTTAGTAGCCAACGAAACTCACCATCTGCATCATCTGCATCATCTGTATCATCATCTTCATCATCATCACTGGCACTGCGATAATGATCGAAGGGCGAAATACGACTCATTCATATTCATTCAAGTTAGTATGAACTGGGAACCGGGAAAATGTAGCGCGCCAAAGCTGAATGAATTCCAACGCGGAATGTGCACACAGTGTGCAGATACAAATGTACATATGTATCCACCATACCCGTGTATGAGTAAAGATATCAGCGAAAGCAAAAGAGCAAGGAAACGAGACAATGGGAGCGAATATAGTACATAGGGGATCCAACTGAAGCGGATCATTAAGGAAAGATTATAACAGCGCACCGCACAATGGGAGAAACTTCAAAAGAAACATGGCACGGCGCACGGCGAACTCGGGATACCCTTCTGTGCACTTCAAGGGGGAGATCTCACTTGGCGTATCGTTACTTCGCAACTCCCTCAGCAACACATGAACACTGGATCACGAACTGGGTCGCACATGTCCTTTCGCCCAACGAAGGGTATTCCGCGTGAGGTACTTCACCAAGGAGGTTTCTGTGCCTGGGCGCATGGCAACAGCTGAAAACCCAAGCTTAAGCTTCCGCGCAAGCGTGTGTGCTGCGCCGCTACAGATACAGATACAGATACATTTTACAGATACTTGTATAGATTAAGATACACATCCCCATACATATTCCACATGTGCGCTCAGGGAGTATCGCTTGAAAGTTTTCCGAACTCCACGAGACAACGAAAAATAGCCGAAAAATCGAGTGGAAATTTTGTCCGAGACTCCAAAGTGCGGCGCGCGAAATCACAAAACGAGTTTCCCTAATGGGTTTAATGGCTCCACTGGGGGTTACGTGCGGGGGGTGGTGGTGCCAACGAACTTTTCTCGGAGGCCTCCGGGCTTTCAGTTTAAGTTGATGTTTGGGGGTTTAGGGTTTTGGGCTGTGGGCTGTGGGTTTTGGGTTTTGGGGTTTGAAGTCGGCTTTTGAAAAGACACGTGTGTGCTTCTTGTAATAACCAATGTTTCGTTTCGGGGACCGGAAATGTTAATGCGGCCTTAATGTATTGTATAATTGCGGTCGGGCCATAAAAATGAATGGAAGTCCATAGGAAATTAAGTGATTCGCATTCAATTACGTGCCCCCAGCGCGAACATCTAGAACTTTTTGCCATTCCGTATTGTGGCCGCATAAACGTAAATTAGATTGATGTAAGGCAGTGCCAAAAACAGGAAGACTGATCAACCTGGGACGTGCCGCTGCTTGGATTTTATTTTGGGGATTGGCCTAATCAAAAAAAAGGAAGAGATCGCCACGATGGAGCGTGATGTGTTGGCGTATAATGCGGTTTTCAATGGCTGACTGCTGATAAGCCAGCTCCTTTATGCCTATGTACATATACATACATCATCCGCTGTGCTGATGGTTTCGAATCGGAGCTTCAATGAATAATTTGTTTACGATAAACAAAAATAAATAATAATAAGTGATTTGTGTGGCGCGCAATAAATACGATTGGAAATGGGGTGTGGGGGCTGGCTCGAGAATCGATAAACAAATCGCTTCCGATGACGACATTGAGCACATGGCGTATGCGCAATGTGGTATCAACTTGACAAATTTCAGGGCTTTTCACTTAATTTTTTTTTTTTATATGCGCCCTGATACCAGCGGCCAACGCAATTTTCCATGTTCTTTCCGCAGCGGAAGAAAGTTCGCTGAAAAAACATTTTCCGCTTTTTAGGCAGCAAAAGAATAACAGCACCAAATGGACTTCAATGTTTTGACTTTTAAATAAAATAATATGGCTTTAGTTTATTTCATACGACTGTGACACGTCATTGCTCATTTCCTCATCTTTATGTAATGTTTTGACTTTATATTTAGACCTTGATTCACCTTGATTCCTTCCTTCAAAATATGATGACTGCTCTATTAATTTACAATCTAAAGTGGATTTGATAGGCTTATCAACGAAGGAGTTCCTTTGACACCGCTACTAGGACAAGTATCTTATTTATAGTGACTATAAATGCGCACCCATATTAAAAATATAGTTATTAATTGAAAACATTATGGAATTTGCTGTTTACTCAAATACTTGAACGACACAAACAAGCAACTAATTTCGCTGAAATGTTCTGTTTTCTCGACTTATTTCCTCAGACTCGTATTTATTTATTTGCTGGTGCTTGGCTTCCCGAAATTAAAATTGGAGGGATGAGTTCATTTAAGATGTGAGTCCGCGTGCTTGCTGTCACAATTCTGCGATTCTGACACTTTTTTGACAATTCGAAATGAACTGAACCACAACAATAACAACCCGCAGGCAACTACATTCCAAGTATCGTAATAATATTGTGAACCAAAAAATCCTGACA